GTTGCCAAATAATTGCCTCAAACTTGACCAAAAAATCTGAAAATTCACTGATTGTTTTGAAAGAAATTTCAAACTTCGGTGACCGTTTCTAAAACTTTGAAATTTCAGTGACCGTTTTGAAATTTTCAGGTAATTTCAGTGACCATTTGTGAAATTAACCCTAAAGAAAAATAATCCAAATCCTTATAAATTGATCTATATTTTCATTTTTATTCGACGTGTGATCTTATCGTAATATAGTTAGTTGAATGCTATTAAATATTGACTTTATGTTTCTAAGAGTAATGTTATTCATCTCTAGTGGGGTTACAAACACAATTTAGATGGCTCTAAATGATAGGTTAAATGAAAGGTGAAATTAAATAACTTATTTAATTTCACATATCATTTAATGTCACATTAACGCTACCTAAACTGTATTTATAACCTCAGTGGAGATGAATAACATTACTCTGTTTCTAAACATGATTGCTAATTGCTAATACTTATATTATCATGTTTTTAGCAACTTTCGCCTTTATCATTAAAAAGAATAAAATAAAAAACTACAATCGAAGTGTAACAATAGACAATAGTGATTTTGTAATGAAATCGAGAACTTTCACCATAGAAATAAGAACACTATTGACGTAACGTTATCTTTTGATAACTCTTTTATCTTTTGATACCTCTTTTAAGGTGTTTCATGAATTTTTTATATTGTCCTAACAAACTCAAGTTGTGTCTGGTGCAGATTTCAGTCCAGATTAAATGGATTTTTTGCCCGTTGAGCCGTCTTTTTTTACCTAATTATATGACCTAAATTCTCACACCGTTGAAGAATATCATCGCAAAGTTTAGATTTTTGTTAAGAAATATGTATATTATTAAGACTTAAATCAAACTTATTAAGAGAAATATGCGAAATTTTATCTTTAACATGCCTATCAATATGATGGCTCTTTTGAACATACTAACATTGAAATCCATATGCTCGTTTTGTACTCTCAATCGAATCAAATTGTTTATTGAAATTAATTTAATGGGTTCTAATACCATTTTAAATATTGGAATTCTATCTTAAAAAGTCGACTTTATTAAGAAAAATAATTCAAGTCCTTATAAATTGATCAATATTTTCATTTTGATTCGATGTGGGATCTTATCGTTTAGGATAAAGCTATTTGTACACCAAATGTACGTACACCTGTCTCACATGANNCACCAAATGTACGTACACCTGTCTCACATGAATAGTGTGCGCGAATATTTTATTGTGTGTGGGACCCCCCTCCATGTGAGGGGGGTGTAAAAGATTGTGTGAATGATTATGTACATGTAGCACGATTGTATCATTTAACATATAGTTAGTTGAATTCTATTAAATATTGACTTTATGTTTCTAAGAATAATGTTATTCATTCCTAGTGGGATTACAAACATAGTTTAGGTGACTCTAAATGATAGGTTAATGTTACATTAACGCTACATAAACTGTATTTGTAACCCCAGTGGGAATGAATAGCATTACTCTGTTTCTAAACATGATTGCTAATTGCTATTACTTAAATTATCATGTTTTTAGCAACTTTCGCCTTTATCATTAAAAAGAATAAAATAAAATAAAATATTACAATCGAACTGTAACAATAGACAATAGTGATTTTGTAATGAAATCGAGAACTTTCACCATTGAAATAAGAACACTATTGACGTAACGTCATATAGTCTTGTGGGTTGAGCTCCAACAGTGGAGGAAGTGATAGACGTTTGTATGTTTAGCATTTCTCCAAGACAGCTCTCGTTAAGCATGAATACCCCACTACCTCAAAATAGTCAGAATGAAAATATATAAGCATATGGTCTCAACTCCTTGGACGCACCTTGTTATCTTTTGATACCTCTTTTAAGGTGTTTCATAAATTTTTTATATTGTTCTAACTCAGGTTGTGTCTGGTGCAGATTTCAGTCCAGATTAAATGGATTTTTTGCCCGTTGAGCCGTCTTTTTTGACCACATGCGAGTGAGGTGGGACCTGCCTGAAGAAGCGGTCAAAAAAGGGGATGAAATTTGATACTTTCAGCTGCACCGGACACACCTTCAATGTAAAAATCTAATATTAGGTCTTGTTCTTGTACAAACTAGCACGCTTTCAAACATTCAACAATTGACAACAATGATCCGGTTTTTATTTTTTCCCCCTTTACGATAGTCTTGTAGGAGTTACATCAACAAGAACAAGTAGCATTTTAAACCATTGCAAAAACTTTTTAATGTAAACCCTCTGACATATATATAACTAACGATCTTCTAAATGTCTATCCGCCAAATACAGTATGAATGCTATTATCGTTTTGAGCATAACACTACAAAAAATTAATGATAAAAGAGAATCCTGGATTACTTTTAAAGTTTCAGAAAACAGAAGTTAAATTGTGGCTGATGTAACGTTTATTTCAAATGGGGACGACTTTGAGCTGGAATTGCATTTGGCAGGAATCTATATCAGGCTGGAATGGAAGCCAGTAAATGTTATTTGCAAAGAGCAGAGTTTGAAAGTGCTGAGGGAGGATATCACGTTGGAAAGATGCAAAATATTGGTAGTCTTTCCCTTTCATTATGATATTCTTGGAGCCCCTACTCCGTTCCAAAGTGTATAGATTCTTGGGTGGACTTTTGTACTGACTCGAGATATGGTTTTTTGCCACAGATTATTTTTCCTATAAATGAATAAAGTACTGGCTATTGGAAAAAAAAAAATGTCAACTTGAGTTTAGATGCAATGTACAAAAGATAATTCTGAAGGGTAGCTAAAGTGCAACTGGAACTTTTTTCCCTACTACATATAAAAGAGGCAGTTTTGCCACGTCGTCGTCAACCAAGAACAAATCCTAAAACGCAAGAACAAAAAAAATTTCAGGGAAAAAAAAAATACGCAACAACAATGACAAAGAAAATTTCAGGAAAAAAAAAAAATTGGTCATGTTGTTCCTCAAACCTACTCGTTGCCTAAAGCACAAGGAAGATTAAATTAAAAGTGGTAATAAAAAACATAGGCAAGAAGCTCAAAAATTAGCAAAAAATTTTAAGAAATACAATCTAATGGATGATCACCGGTGGATTAATCATGTCAACTATCTGACACAAAATATCCTCAAAAGGCACAGCCTTTTTGTGCAGGTCTTCCATTCTATGCTGCAGATCGTTGTAGAAGTATTGCATTTCATTCCTTGTTATAACTCCATTTGCATCAAAATCTAAGCACTTGAACCTGATAAAAGATATTGGTGTCAAATGCATGTAGAAACAGAATATAATATACTACGAAAGTGACTTGAAGTGCCCATAATGAATTGAAAATTCAGTTAATTAATCTTTAGATAATTCCACTTCACCACATGCATGACATATTAATAGGTATAAAGAGAAACAGTCAACAACTCTAAAAGTATACAAGATCCTCTTTTCATGGACACAAGGTAACCAACTACAATTTGTTAGGAATATTGGGCCTAAGATCCTCTTTTCATGGACACAAGGTAACCAACTACAATTTGTTAGGAATATTGGGCCTAACTCCACCTAATAAAACCGGCTTATTAGGGGAGGATTGCCCTCACTTTATTAAGTGAATCATTTATATTTT